TATTTGTGAGAGGAAGTGCCATCTGAGAATGCTCCTGCATGCAATTGTGTTTTCTATAAATAAAACATTTATTTCTCCAACATTCTTCACACTTACTCACCTTTTCTTCTCATTTTCTCTGTGTTTTGCGTCATGACATCTCCCATAATTTTCACGAGAGATGGGTATGTTATTTTCTCGGCCATCAAACCTCTGATAAAAAATGAAATTTTGAATTTTGACACATTCATTCTATGGAGCGTCTGAAGAGAGAGTTGATGTGATGGTTAGACAAAGACATCGAAGTTGGCGAATAAATTAGAAGGATCTAGAGAAGAAGAATGATCACCTCACTTGCAACTAGATGACCTCATAGTTGGTTAGAGGAAGTCAAAACAAACAGAGACATAATAGTGATGATGCATGAATCCGATGAAATTGTTTTGACGGTTGTAATTTCTTAGATATGTTGTTGTGTTGTTGGTGTTATTTTTTCGTGGCGTATGTGTTATTGGTTTATCTGGTGTTTGTGTTGTTGTTTTAGTCGTGATGACATTTTATGTCTTGTTTGTGTTTGGTATTTTGTAACAAATGTTCGTAATGAAAAAAAATTCGTTGAGATATAAAAAAAAATGCAGATATTGTGAATACAATTGTTATGTTGTCGAGCTAGTAGCACGAGAGGGGGAATTCTTTCGGTTGTGTCCGACCTGACGGCATAAATCACATTTTCTTTCTAGCTTGTCAAGTGAGTCCATTTCAATTGTGATACGCTTGCTTTTGGAACGATCGTTTTTATTCCTTCGTATTTGATTGTTATGTCAAACTATTTCCCCTTTGTACGCATGCTAATAATCTGATTTTGCCACCACTGAAAAGCCATTGTTGTATACGTTGAGCAAGGTCTCGGCCTTGTAAATGGGAGATAGAAGTAGTAATACATCTTGATGAGCATACGTACATAGGGATGTCAATTGCATCTGTTAATGGGGATCCCCGTGGAGATTATTTGTTTGGAGCTTCGAAGTTGAGAAATATTTTTTCTGCGGGGATGGGGATGGAGGGAAAAGTTCCTCCGATGATACTTTAGGGCTGATATCAGAGAAGTATCCTCCGTCCCGTAAATTCCCCGACTCCGACCATATCATTTAACTTTTATATTTTATATATTATATAATACATAATTATCTTATTTTATATGTTTTTTATAAATAAAAAGTTAATACATTAAAAAATGAATACTTATTTTTTTACAGAAGAAATTAACTACAAGTGCTTTTGCAATTTTTTTTTGTTATTGATGTAAGAGGTGTTTTTATTAAAAGGAAAAAATAATAAAATATTAGTGTCATAAACATAATTTTGATTGAAAAGTATAAAAATTTTCTTAAAATTCAATCTCTGTGGATCTTCGTGGAGATCTGTGGAGATGGGGATGGAGAAAATTATTCCACCGTAGCAGAGATCGGGGATGAGGATGGAGAAAAAATTAAGGGACGGGGCGGGGAGCGGGGAAGCATGCTCTGAGCATTCCCTGTCTCATTGACATCCCTATACATACATGCTGCAATGACATGAGAGCAAGGCATACGAAAGGCTCGATACTTTCCACAATCGCACCAACGAGATGGTAGTATAACCTTATACTTTTGTCTTGGCAACCCCTTGTTGTGGTCGATTGTCTCTTTGACAATGAAGGTGTGGTTATGTCGGTCGAATCTTATAACATGATGAGTGTTGGCTTTGGCATTCTCTGCCTTAATAAATTTCATGCAGCTTTCACTCCATAGTTGTCCTGATTGTAACATTGCGTTCCATATTTCACCTCTTTTTGCAAACAACGAAGTCATCCTAAAATATGTTGATTTTACCAAAGCACTTACTGGAAGGTTTTGTATGCCTTTGAAGACACCGCTCATTGATTCAATAAGATTTCGTATGCCTTTTAACTTATTTATTTTTAAATTTATCATTATTATAATTTAATTTTATCAACGGTTTATCTGGAGACCACATTTGAGTTTGGACCATGAACCCAACCCCGTGAATGCAGCAGTTTAGACTACAAAAACTGCAATCATACAGATCAGCATTGTGAAGATGCATCAAAGCGGTCGTGTCAAGATGTAGTTCTGAATGCATCAAGAAATACCAGGCGATCCAACTTGTTTGTCACCTTGGCATCTCAAAAGAGTTGACGCCCAATGGGTGTTAATAATTGAAAATATTTCGCTCTAGAATGGTGTAAGATGTGGCATAGGCGTCACCGACATGTCTTACGATTCTCTGTTTTACTCACCCAGAATAATATGTGATACACAGATCAATATATTGATTGGTATAGATCGGTTACTAACCCTGAAATGTTTGTGTCTGACCCGAGGTACTTGATCGACCCACGCACATAATGGGCACAATTCTCAAATCCCCAACAACACTACCAACAATAATACACCACCCAACAACAACCCCAACAACAAACTCAACACACATCAACCTCCCACCAAACACCACGACGATACAGATCTACAAACACATAACCTCAATCACAACCTCTATACCAATACACTCATATACCTCACACTCGATCATAGTACCAAGAACACTAGCCATACATTTATCATCCCGATGTGGGCCCTTATCATCTCACCTTAGCCCTGACTTTGGCAGACCTGAAGAATATTCTCCAACCAACCCAACTTACGATCAACCATCACATCACCATAGCATCTAACAATCACAGTATCAAACTCCACAAGATTCATTTCTTTTTTACCCCCCTTATTCATACAACCAGTGCTATCGACCACCCATAGAACTCCACCCCCCACCAATACGACCAAACTTTGAGGGCATGGGTAACCGACTGTTTGAAAGTGAATCTTCCAGATATGGTGATCTGACGGATTTCATAGATCTTGAACGCATTGACTTCACAGGTTCCTCGACCCAGCTGCAATAGGAAAATCGTTGAAACTCACTACGAGTTAGGCGAGGACGCGGGTGCGGAACCACGGATCGTTATTGAGTCCCGGGAGACAACTAAATAATATGTAACTTTTATTTTCATTATGTAATTGCTTAATTATTATTGAAAATCAAGTTTTCATTTGTGACGAAATTGTCTTATTTTTTTAACAAAAAAAATTATTTAAAAAAAACACTTCGCACTTAGGCTCTATCTAAGACGGTTTAGGGCAAATCACATACACTTAGGCGCCATCTAATTTGACGTCATTTTAAAAAAAAAATCAATACATGTGTCATTTGAGATGACTGAACTATATAAGTCAATTTTAAAACATAGTTATTTATGTAATTTTCTCCAAAACGTAATTATTTGTGTTTTTTTTTTCAATACCTGATAATTATTAAAAAAAATCTTGATATACACTAACACCATTAATTAATTATACTTGACAAGTTTTAAATTATGTTTGACTTTTCTTTTTTAACAATATTTAAAGTAATTTTATTAATGGTTGTAATTGAATGTATTGACAATACACAACTATTAATCTTTTATAAAAATTATATTGTACCTTTAATTTATGTAGAGTTTAAGTTCTAAAATATAAGTTCATAATTCAACCTATTTAGGTTTCTTGGGTCTTTGGCGCATAAAAAAATCATATTTAATTTTTTTTTTTTAAATTTACCAAACTTTTATAGAAAAAGCATTTATAATATCAAAACTTTTGAAACCAAAATAATTAAACTATATTTATATCTCGAAGAAAATGTGACTTTTCTTCTCATGATTAAGAAATGGATTCAAACATTTGATTGATTAAAGCTCTATTTGGTAAAATTAAGTTAAAATCTAGTAGTTTATTATACCAACCCATTCAGCTTTTAAGGTAAATCTAATAGTAAAATCACCGTTTCTTTTTCGAAAATTCACCAAACAATAAACCGTTTCTTTTAAGGTACATCTGATAAACAATCTCAGAAATAACTGGAAAAAAAAATTAAAATATATATATATATATATATATATATATATATATATATATATATATATATATATATATATATATATATATATATATATATATATATATATATATATATATATATATATATATATATATATATATATATATATATATATATATATATATAATTGAATTCTCATTTTATATTAAAAAAAAAATTTATTAATATACACGGATAATATAAAACAGTTTTACAATATTAGTATATATCAGTATCTAGTAATTAATCTCAAAAAGAATTTAATTGATATACACTGTTAATGAATCGTGACCGTTAAATTTTAATATTATTTATAAATTTATATTTATAAATAGTTGTGATTCATTGATCCTAAAATTTTTACACTGACATTGCTTATTAATTAATCTCTTAAAAAATGGTACAGAACTTAATAAAATTACTTTGTTATAACTTTTGTCTAAACATAATTGAATAAAATAAATTTTATAAAATTATTCACGTAAAAGTAACCTGAATGTAAAATGAAATATGTTTGAACAAATAAAAGTGAATTGAAGAAAAATTTCAATAATTTTAATGTAAAAATCAAGTTTAAGCTCAACAGCTACGGATCTTAATTTTAGTTTGAATCAATTTTGGAAACAAAATTAACTCCTTTTGAAAAAACAAACATGTCAACTTCAATTCAAAATCAATTTTACACTTTCGGTTCTTTCAAAATGGAAATCAACCATACACTCTAGCTACTCTAAAAGTGAAGCCATACATGATTTCATGGTGAGAAGCAGTGTTCGTGGATCTACTAAATTCAAACGGGGTTCGACAATAAAATGGCTTTTAGCTACAATAAAAATAACAAATTTCAACCCCCAATAAAAATAACAAATCTCAACCCCCAATAAAAATAACTAGTTTCCCTGTTGGTACAAAATTTCTTCGCACCGATTAGCCTGAATTGCAAAAGTAACCAATGAAATTTCTAATCATACATGGAGCCGGTGGACATAGTGATACAAAAATAGTTTCATACTTTTTGATACTCTTTGATAATATGGTAACAACTATTTACCATCAAGACTTCCATTTGTAAGTTGTCCAAGACTCCCATCACCATCATTCTCAAACATTACTGAATCAACTAGAGCCTGCACAAAATCACGTGAGATTCTATATGAAAAAAGAGTATCCGAAGTCACATTCTGAAACATTTCCTCCAAGTCACACAACATGATTTACAGTATCATATACGCAAACCTTGAATTCTTTTTCACTGGTTTTAAGTCTTTCTGTGGAATCTTGCACTTGCAGAAAACATTCGTGCAGCTGAAAATCATTTTACAAAGTCCAATGTTAGCAATAAATAACATTGACAAAAAACGGATGTTCAAACTTAGAATAGGGATTCCTGTCATCTAAAGTATGATTATGAAAACTAGATATTACCTTGGTCAACTGCATCTGGCGATATAAAGATTGTTTCTTTGCAGAAATCACCGCATCCTCCAGTTTCTGCAGTAAATATTTTCTAGATCAGAATATAAAAATAGATTGTATTCAAAGTAAGGACATTAAAAGTTAAGTAATCAAGCTCAAAATCTAATGCCTGGACATAAGTGGAAGGTACCTTAGAGTGTTTTTGTAACTCCGTAACATTAAGTCTTCTTTCTTCCACTCTCTCTTCCAGTTTAGAAACCTGACAAAACTCCAATTTTAAGCACCACCAACACATAAAAGAGAAGAAAAACAACATAAAGAGACTAGTGGGTTTGTTGGAATTGGATGGCTATTATTGTATGAGATGTTGTAACAGCCCTGGTATACACATTAGACATGCTCGTCCAAAAAATGAAATTATTAGAGCAGACATTATCATTTTGAGTTTTCTTACGAATTTCTACAGCTCGATAAATTTAGTTATGAAAATACCAAACCTCCTTTTTTAGATTATCAAGTTCTTGGATTGACTGCTCTAACTCATCTTCTGCCTGAAGATCACATAAGCAAGTACAAACATAATGTTCCACGATCAGTCTTGATTTATTTTATGACAATATATTATCTGAAAAAGAAATTTGTGAATGCTCACATTAAAGAAACTCATAAATGATCACAATCATTGCATTACCTCATCATTGTGGTCATCAGTAGAATCTGATGGACTATTTTCATTTGACACATTCAAACTGCAGGAAAATCCGACAAAACAAATACGTGTGCAGCATACATCAGCCAAAGAGAAATAGTTGTAAATCAACCAATGTCAAGGAAAATGGAAAGAGGAGATCTTACTCTATGTTTCTCCTCGACGATTCTCTCTTAGGTTCATCAAAACTGTTATCAGGATCACTAACCCTGTCCATCTTTCTCTCAGTATCCACGTTCGAGTTATGGTCTCTATCCACATCCCCACCATGTACCCTGCTGTTTTCTTGTTGATTTTCAGCCCTATCATCATCACGGTTCCAATCATCATCTAACATGCTTTCTCTACCTTGATCGTCATAATCTTGCACATGTTCGACTCTCCTATCCCTACCCCTGTCATGGTCTCGCGACCTATCACGATCCCGAGACCTATCACGGTCTCGAGACCTATCACCATGTCGAGTCCAATCACTGCCTCTACTCCTATATCCTTCTTTCTCATTACCATGATCATAATTTTGCTCTCGAATATGATCTCTGCCACTGCCACGCTCATAATCTTGGTCTCGAATCTCTCTATCTCTTCCACGATCCCAATCTCCATTCCTTTCATCATTATGATGATAATAACGTTCTCTTTCTCTCCCAAAATTTGACCTACCACCACCACCGCTGCCGCCGCCGCCACCGCCACCACCACCACCACCACCACCACCACCACGGGACTTCACTCCATTAACTTTGACCACGCGCCCACTAATACTCTGATTCATAACAACAGTGTCAAAAACCTAACACTCTTAAGTCTTAACCTAACCATAACAGTAATTAACAAACATAACATAAATAAACTTCATACTATAAAACACGACAAGAACATAAACTACATACTCTTCCATTCATGTCGTTGATAGCATCAATTGCAGACCTAGGGTTTGTGAAAGTAACAAAGCAATAGCATTTGCCGACAGTACGTTGGTCATTGATAATCTGAAATTAAAATGAAAAATCAAAACTTTGCGATAAAACTGAAAATTCAATTACTTCAATCGATTATTAGCGAAAGAAAAGAAAGAGTTATGAAAGGGCTTGTTAAAACCCTAAAATTGAAAAAACAATGAAGGTGCTGGTTAATACCTTGACATCAAGAATGGCACCATACAAATTGAAGACAGTGCGAATTGTATCTTCGGTAGCGTCGTAGGGAAGACCTCCAACGTATATGGAGCTATCATCGTCTAGCGTCATTTTTTCTGCTATGGAATCGCCCTTACTTCACTTCAACTCTTTTGCTTCAAACTTTGAACTTCACTTCTTTTAACTTGCTCTTCGTTTTTCTTTTTTAACCTCCAATGGAAATTACCTCATTTTTTTAGCGAGGGCCAATTTTTAATTTACCTTTATCTTGAAAACTAATTGGGCATTTGGGCCTTTTCTCTTTGAAATTTTTTTACTGTCATTTTAACATATCAATGTATTTATCATTTTATTTTTATCATTTCCTTAATTTTTCAAATTTTAAAGGATTTTGTATTCTCACATATGTTTACCGAAGAACTCTGTCCAGAGTAGTTAGGAATTTTTTTTTCTTTATCGAATAATTTGTTATTATGTTTTTCGGTTTATATTTTTTGTTCTTGGAGAACTTGTTCATATGTTCTTAGATTTGTAACTTATACCGGATAATTTGGTATAATGTTATCTGATGAACTTCATTTTGTATATCAGATACTTACCATTAAGTAATCTAATAGTTTTAAAAAAAAAAAGTTAACTTTTTTATGTTGTAGATATGAAAATACTTTGCAGTTATGGGATAAAAATCATATATGTGTAGATATCTGATGCATTCTTAACTACACAAAGATTCGATACAAGAGAATATGTGATAAGGTGGATTAAGATGTTAAAATTAGAAATAAAGTAATTGTTATCATCACTCGTTTAGATACTAAAATAGGAAAGAGAGGGAGAAGCAACAAAGTAATATTTGGTTGTGATAAAGGTGGAAAATACAAGGAAATAGATTGTGGAACACAAAGTGCCACTAAAAATAAAATTGTCAATTCAAAATCAACTTAACACCGTCGAAAGAAGGTTTTGGATGGAAGATTGATGTAAAATGTGGACTTCATAACCACAGTTTACCTGATAGATTAGAAGGTCATTCGTTTTTTGGTCGGTTGAGCGCAGATGAGCGGTAACATATCGTTGATTTGACAAAGTGTCATGTTCAACCCAGACACATATTGTTTTCCTTGCAAAAGTAAGTTTTGAAGAATGTCACTCGAATCACACAAATATATAAAACATAAGAGTAAGTTACAAAAATAGATAAGAGGTCATAGAACTAAGATACAATATTGGTTTAAGTTTATAGAGGATGCAGACTATGTTTACTAGAGTAGATGAAGAGATGACTCTTATATTGTGAGAGAGATATTTTGGACTCACCCAGATGCAATCCAGTTGAATATTTTTCCTCTTGTGTTGGTTATGGACAACGTGTACAAGTCAAACAAATATAGACAACCTATGTTTGAAATAGTTGCCATGACGTCAACCGAGTTGACATTTGTTGTAGCATTTGCCTGTATGGAATTTGATCAGAGGAGAACTTTTGTTGGTTGCTTGATAAGCTGAAACAATTGTTTGTTAAGGAATAGTTATGTGTAATACGGTGGGAGAATTAACTTTTTAGTTTTATCGTAAATGTTGCGGTTAGCAAGAGTCGCCACCGACTTTTCTTTTATCCAATATTTAGAAAAGGTGAAAAGAACAGGATATATCTTTGATAGATTTTGAGTTTGGGGGGTAAGTTATGAAAAGGGAAGGTATTAGCATCCTTCTCATCTGTAGTTATCTACGGGAACTTAATTGATTGCTCACTTTTAAAACTTGTTGTGTGTGTGATTTGTTTGAAAACAATTTGCAATGCCAATGTAAGGCTAACTTTATAATAATTGTTGTATCAGTCCTGAAGAATGTATACAAAGTACTTTTGAAAATATTTTGTTTGAAAGTGTAGTGTGGAAAATGTTTGTTTGTGAAAAAGGTTGTGAGCAAGCATTCAAGAGTTCTTACCTACTAAAGTCTTTTTTGTTATTTTCCTTCTCCTTTGGAGATAGTATTATCCATACCATTAGTCGGTAGGTAATCCTATCTATTGGATGTGAAGGGACATGCGTAGGGTCATTGTATGATCATTGAAGGCGACGTGTAAGAATACTTTAGTAATTGTATCGAAGGGACTGTCATCATTTGCTCGTAGGGTCATCGAGGGACTAGATTATTTTGTAGGGAACTCGAAGGGTCATCAAGGACTTATGATCTTCATTTGAAAGCGACTATGATGATATTTTTTAAATTGAGGGTCTTGTGCTAAAGTATCTCCACTTTCGAGGGATATGACCAAGTATTCGTAAGGCAACAAGAGAGATTATCCTAGAGGTGCATGTGTGAAAAGTGTTTGTTTTCAGTTATTTAGTCTTGAAAATTAGGGTTGTCTAGATTGCTTTTAGTCTTGGCATAAAAATCCTAATTACTAACAGTTAGATATGTACAGGAAATTAAAGTGTGGAATATAAAGTGCAGAAAATTAAATCTAAGTTATTACATCTTGTGAGCAATTACATAATTAGAAAAGATGTGGGAATATAAATCTAAGCTATTACATTTGAGAGTGAGATCTATACATTTGTTATAGAAAAATTAAATAGCAAAAGGAAATAAGAAAAATATTAGAAAAAAAGTGTTTTAATGTTATTGTGTTTTTTGTAGAAAATAATTTAAGTTAATAAATAGTAATTAAAACCTAATTATTTGTAATTAATTTTAATATTTAGAAAAAACTAATTAACTTAATTAATTAGTAAATGAAAAATATGTGAAAAAATTAATTACTAACTAGAAAACCATAATCCTAATTTGTTATAATTAAAAAAAAGTTTAAGGTTAATGGTTAATTTAGAAAATAAGTTAATTAATTAAGAAATGGAATGAAAATAGGGTTATTGAGATTGCTTTTAGTCTTGCAGTACAAACCCTAATTACTAACAGTTAGATATGTACAGAAAATTAAAGTGCAGAATGTAAAGTCCGGAAAATTAAACCTAAGTTATTACATCCTGTGAGCAGTTACATAATTTAAAAAAAAATGTGAGAATGTAAATCTAAGCTATTACATTTGAGAGTGAGACCTATACATTTGTTCTATAAAAATTAGATAGCAAAAGGAAATAAGAAAAGTATTAGAATAAAAGTGTTTTAATGTTTTTGTATTTTTTTTAGAAAATAATTTAAATTAATAAATGGTAATTAAAACTTAAGTATTTCTAATTAATTTTAATATTTAGAAAAAATTAATTAACTTAATTAATTAATAAATGAAAAATATGTGAAAAAATTAATTACTAACTAGAAAATCTTAATCCTAATTTGTTATAATTTTAAAAAAGTTTAAGGTTAATGGTTAATTTAGAAAATAGGTTAATTAATTAAGAAAATGGAATGAAAATAGGGTTAGAAAATAAGGAAAACAAATATGCATGGGTGGGAGTTGAACCCACGCCCTTCCTTTCACCAATATGCCCTTCTACTACTGCACCATGTTGTTCTTTGTGTTATGGAATGGGAAGGAATCCATTTGGTATTAACCTGCGTTAAAACCTAAAAAATAAAATTATTTGACAAAAGTTGGGATCAAATCCATGCCCTTTGCAATACCAGTCATACTTCTTACCATCAGGCCAATTGTGTTATGCGTTAGTATAATCATCATCATTTAATATAATATAAATTGAAATAAAAAATCAGAAGTCAAACAAAACTGAATATGCGCGTTGTGGTGGGGTCGAATTTTTTTTAATGGACTAATCATATTGAGAGGATTGGCCATGCAGCTTCTGACCGGAATCAAACAAAATCTGAGACGCCCGAGTCAAACTCTGGTCGTCTTCTCCAGCAAGCTCAAATTCCAAACCTGCAAAAATGGAAGATTCGAAGCAAACCGAAAGGTCTTTCATATACAAAATTGTGTCCTGAACTCGAATCTGGGCTCAAAACAGGCAAAATATCAGCGTATCATGAGATTCGAACGCAAACTCAAATCGTGCCCTAACAATGCATTTTGTTGTTCATGCACGAAAGCTTGCAAACAATGATTATAAATAAGTCTAAACATCATTATAAATAGGTAAATATGCATAGCGTCAATCAACAATGCATGAATTATGATTTTGAATTCAAGAAAGTTCAATAAATCAGTGCAGTTGAGATATGTTGTTCTGGCGTGCTTCAAGCTTCAGGGACGATTGGAATGAGTTTCTGGAGTCTCCAGGAAGCTTGCTTGATGCTTGGAATGGGTTGAAAACTACTGGATAAAGGGTTAGAGTTTGCCCTGGTTCTTGAAAAATTTGAGATTTATAGGGTTTCTCTTGGGGCAGCCCTGTGTGTTTTTTGATGTCTGAACATGTTATGTATTTATAGGATAAAAGATTAGGTCAAGTGGTGGGCTTGGACATCTCATGAAATCGTATCTTTGATTTTGTTTAAAAATAAGTTGAAATCTTTCAAAACTAATGTAAACTTGTTTCAAATAAGGCCACACGATTTCTTTAGTTTCAAGGTAGATTTTTGGGCCTCCAACATGATTAAAACAAGAGTCCATACGCCTAAGTCCATTAGTTTCATATTTTATTTCATTTAATTTGCATTTAAATGAATAAAATCCAAATAAAATAAATAAAAATCATAAAAAATATGTGAATGGATTTATAGGTCTAATATGAAGTCATGAACACGTTTGAACCTAAAAACTTAGGCCCATTAACCCAAAAATTAAAGTTTGCTCAATTTGAACTTCATGCATTTTCTCAAAATTTCTTAACTTGCATCAATCATAACTCTCTCAATTTTGGTCATATGAAGATAATCTTAGACTTTTTGGGAACCTCAAGATGTCTCCTACAACTTTCATGTTGGTTACTTTTACATTTGAAGCCTTTATCTTTATGTAAATTGCTTTGACAAAAAAGTCTTTTTGTTGACTTTTGAAATGACTTGTAACGTTTTGGCCCATATCTCTCAAATGAAGCATTTTTGGCCTTAATCTTAGTGATACAAAGTTGTAGAGAATTGAATTTCCTTCAAGATAGGCTTTGGTTAAGGAATTTCTGATAAAGTATGCAAAAGTTATGCTTTGTCAAAGTTCAGTTGACTTCTCCTAAAGAAAACTTTAATTTAGTAAC